TTTTTTTTTTTTTTTTTTTTTTTTTTTTTTTTTTTTTTTTTTTTTTTTTTTGGTCAGTGATGATTCTGTGTTGGTGCAAAAAAATGTGAGGTTCATGCACCGGAGAGAAGCAAGGACTTACAAGGTTACATCATGTTTTATATATACGAAAATAAATAATAAAAAAATAAAAATAAAAAAGGGAAATACATATATATTAGATTTGGCGGCGTTTAACATAAAGTAATAATATAATAATATAAATGTAAAAAGTGAGAGAGAAAAGTAAAAGGAAAATAGACGGCGTCAAGAAGACAGGGAAAATTGGATGATTCGAAGTGAAGGAGAAAGCGACGGAACATCAGAGAGACGTGGGCCGCTGTGTCGATGCGGTGTGATGCGATGCCATTTTCCAACTAAATTTAGCTTTTCTAATGATTCTCCCCTTTTCCCTATTCATTTCATTTCCACATTTTTTTTTCTCTCTCTCTCTCTTAATTATAAATTTTATTTACTAGAATAAATTATTAAATGCCGAAAGAAACACGATCACCCCATAAAGTCACCGAGGAGATATGACGGGGATAAAGAGAAAAAATAGGAGAGTGTAACACTTTAGTACTCGTCACTCACGAGGAGTGTGACTATGCAGCATGATTGGTAGAGATACATGTTAACTTATAGGCACGAGGTGTGTTGGATGCTATTGTGCATGGTGACGTTGAGGAGTGTAAGGACAAACTTGCTCTTACTACCATGACGTCTTTCTCATGTTGGCTAAGAAGAACTCAGCTAAAGCAGCGTGGGAGCCGCTGTAACAATACATGTGGGTGTGAAATGTGACAATGAAGCAAAAGTTAGAGCTTAAAAAGTGAGTTCGAGGCTATTGGCATGAAGATAATGAGTTAATAGGATCATAATTGACATATGTTGTTAAAATTTTTTCGAAATATGACCGAGTTAACTAAGGATTAAACAAAGTTGATACTAGAGAGTAACATACAAACATTCTTATCAAGTCTCTAGCAAAAGTCAAATTTGCAAACAATAGTAGTTACTTTAAGTGAAGAATATCGAGTAAAGTCAAGACGGAAGAGAATGTGAGTTAATAAAGTTGACTTAATATATATTTCGATCGTGGATGATATCCCACATTGTCGTCACACTAGATCACATCAATCCGCTCTAGCCCTGTCCTGTCGCTAGCCACTCTCAGGTGTAAGCAGAGCACGTTCACTACTGCTCTACTTACCCACGCAGTTAATTACCCATGTCAATGCTGTCGCCGCTCCAACCGTGGTGACGACACTAAAGGGTGGTGTTCATCTGATTTACATCCCCTTTTTCTCTCATGTGAATAAGACTACCTCAACCACCCAAAAAAGGGACATCATCAAGGATGTCAACACACTCTCCAACGAGATTTAAGACATTTTGGGCGAGTTTTAAGGTTCTGACATGTCTTCATTTACCCTTATATGACAGTGATTGAAAATAGGTCTCTTTAAGATTTAGATGGCATATGGGTAAGCTATAACCATCGAGTTGATCTTACGGTGTTTGAATGTAAGATTCGGTGTGAGTTGAATTCCACCTTTCAGGAGTTCATCATCCCGGCTAACTCTAATACCATTCGTAGTAAGCCAAATTCACTACTAGTAAATATTGTCTGTTTTAGCTCGATATTTATCGTCATCAGTCTCACAATTTTAAAACGCGTATGTTATGGAGAAATTTCTACACCCTTATAAGCAATGTTTCGTTTTGTTTTCCAATTGACGTGA